ATTTCAAGATTTTCCCTATCGTCGGACGACGCAGTGAATTAAATGCAGCCTGAACGTCGAAGAAACTGGCAAACCAAGACAAATGGAATTGTCGACATTGCACAGTGATCCTACGCAGAGTGAAAACTTGGTGGGGGACAGGAATACTTGATCCGAAAGCCTGACTGGTTTGGGTTAAGTCTCCGATCAACTGCAGGCCTCAGCCTTTCTGTGATAATCCAAAGGAAGAGTATCCCGGGAGCTGACAGCAGTGAGATACCACAATAATTGGAACCTGACCTATTTTAAATATAGCGACAATTACTCCACACTTCCATTCTCCTGGAAAACGTTTGCAGGTCCACATCTGATGAAACAGCTCATGGAGCATTTCTATTTCTCGTTCTTCGATGCAAAATCAGCTCCAGAAGAATTCGAGCCACCCCACAAACCTCTTTCGCCTACAGGTTCAATCTTTTTTGATTTACAGTTTCGTGCGTAACTCTGTACTAACCTCTAGTGAAGGCAGAGAACTAACAACCGGAAATGACCAATCTGGAAAGAGGCCGATGAGAAGCTGCTGGAAAAGCTTAGTCGATCTTTCAAGGCATTCGTTCTGACCCGCCAATCAGATACCCTTAGCGTTTTGAATAAGGACAGACCGAGTAACCCTGCTTACCGAAAAACTGTCGCACCACTTTTAGCACTGTTTTCCAGTCACCATTTCTAGCTGCTATACTGATCTTCCTGATTTACCCTCCATCCAGAGTTCCGCTCCACCTATAACTCCAGTTGACTGCATGAACGATACGGCGATGAGCTGCCTTTAAGCGTGCAGTATGATGTCACATGTACTCCTTTTTGGCCCGATGCTTCTGCATGCTAAGAGTTAGGATTTTCTTCGTAACCCAGGTCTGTTTTTCCTGACCCCAACCAAGTTTTACCGAGGAAATGCCAGCGTCTTTGAAGTCGTTGTAGGCACCATCGACGTTGCCAATTCCTGACTGGGAACTAAGGGTGGCATTAAAATAACTTTACCTCCTTTCGGTAGGCTGACTGCGCCGTTTTGTCACATTTGAGAACTGCCAACATCGAGCAACTGATGTGTCTCAACAAGACGATGTCGATACGACACGTCTGATCTTGGACGAAGTTTCGCTCCGTCCTTACGATGATCAGACCCAATGCAGACGCCACGCTTAAAGGGAGTCTCTAATAACGAAATGCGCCATTTACGGATGATGAGGTCGTGGTCCAGCATGGTTTAAGAATCTATCCCGGACTACAGATGGTTTAGTGAAAACGCTTATGAGGAAAATGGGTCCCATCGACTATAAAGCTGTTTGTCGCGCAAACGTTAGCCACTGGCTTGCCTCTATCATTCGCGTAGTCACTGCCGTGAAAGCCGCGTACGATTGGGCATGTGCTGTTCCGGGCGCCAACCTTCGCGTTGAGGTAGCCTGTGACAATTCTGACCTCATGAGACAACAAAACGCTAATGCCGAACTGCAAGCAGTCATAAAAAGGATCTTTATCACTGCAACATGACAAATTTATTGGGGCACAATGGCCTGATTGACATTCGCACGAGAGTCCAGGATTCTCATCGACATCTCTTCCACGTAAATGACCGTCCAGCTTATGCTAGGGACAACAGAATACTCACACCGGCATGGTATAATTTGCAGCGGCCCTACAACCGCGACGATCATCAGAAAACCTTTTTCCAGGGAGGTGAACTTCCGTTACCGCCAATGCATCGAGTTCGTATCGAGGGGCGTATGTAAAGTTGACATCATCTAACTTACCTACACCAAACAATGAATTTGTGTCCCAACATGCAACGTGGAACTCGCATTTGTGTGTTAACTGCTGCAATCACTAAGTTTTTGGTTCCTAGTTGCCTGGAAAGTTATTGGCGGGAACCGCTAGCTAAGAGACGTGACACGTTGGCAGCAACAAGAAATGGGTAGCAAGTTCTTGACTTGGAAATAATAGGGACAGCATTTTACTTTTGTGTGGTCATACAGGTGAGGTGTACGGCTATGCTATGTTGTCCAATGCGAGCCCCAGATTACACCGCATTTCGCTTTGCTCCACCTGATATCTGACAACTCAGTGAAATAATCAACGCAAAGAACTACCCGAAAATAATGAAGATGGAAGGACGACATCGAACAACGGAACATCGACTACATCAAGAGAATCTCAAGATTGAAAGACGTGGAATGAAATGGAAATTATGACGTCTAACCTCTGAACAGAGGACGACACCGAATCGAATATAAAATGATCCAAAAACAAACAGAACTTTCGCAACCTCTTTATTCCCTTAGGTGTAAGGGGCAGTA